TCACCTCTTCCTCTCATGTGGGCCGGAGCATCTGACGGGTCACACACACACCAGGAATGTTTCTGGATCCTAAAGCACAAGTTTAGTGTAACTTTATATTCTACTTTAGCACACAGATTTCAACTGTATTTTCAGACAATAACTTACAGAGGTGTGTGGATCATCTGACTGGAGCGAGATAAGTCATTGTAGTTGTAGACGTCTTAGCAGAGATGACGATGAATCCTAAAAGTGCAATCAAAGTACAAAACACATTATTTGTCATTATTTCATGATTGTTTCTCTCATTTCTCAGAATACCTTGTGTTCTGGCGTTAGGATCAGGGCTCCCTCTGGTGGTGGTTCACTGCACTTTGTGGATGATACCATGGACAGCTCCATCAGCGACACCTTTCTGTGAAAGAGAACAACAGTCTTTAGTAATTCATATAAATATTATGTTAGTATTGATCTTTACTCACCAGGACACGCTGGATCCCACTGGAACACATTTGTGGACATACATATATAGACATACTTACACAGCGGCCTCCCCCAATCAAAGCCCTTTTTATGGCACTGGAGGAAAGCATTAAGAGCACATGTACACTCCTTCTGTGGGATTAATCCACAAATACTCTAGAGATGCACTTTGCTTTAGGCCCTCCTTTCAATAAACACCCATTCTGAAAAACAGGCTTCTGTGTACCAATACTCTGTGCAAAGAAGCACGTACAATGTTTTCTCATGGAAACACACAGTTCAACTTAAACAGGAGAATTAGGGAGTGTCCTACCAGCCGACAAGTTAGTGAACAAACCCAAGTCTCCACGTCTCACACTTGATTATAAAGTAAAAGTGCATTCATGAGTTAGTTAACCCTCCTACGGCCAGAGAGGAACCAGCTCAAAGGAAACACAAGGCAAGGCGTACTATGCAGGAAACCACACACAAGTATCAGAGGGACTTTTTTCTCAATTACACTTTAGTCATTGAGTACATTTAGACAATTTGTTCTTGTTGTGTCTGTTACGTTCCTACATAATATTCCTTCTCTTTCAACATGCAAAAAAACACAGCAAACAAACACAGCAAACACACCTCTAACCCACCTATGCCCAGAGCAGAATGCAAGGCGTACTATGCAGGACATCTGTGTCATAGCAGCTTCAATTTGGTTTATCTCTCACTATTTACTTATTACTATTACTCATCACATTGAACTTTCTTTTTGCTTTGTAAGACGTTTCAGAATTCAAGAATTTCAAGATTTTAGAAATCCTACATACTATTCCTTGCTTTCTCTTCTTTTGAAACACACGAAAAATGAAAAATGATTTTTGCACACACAGCTACTACTACTACTTCACACACAGCTAAGATACTAAATGGAAAAACTATGTACATGAGGTGAAATCGGCGCTGGTGAAGGTGGTAAATGCTGCCGATGTGACGCTACCAAGCCCAGAGTCTGTGAGACTGAAGTCAGTCATCGTCTGACTCAGGGTCTTGGGGCAGGCGGTGGAAGTGCCGAGGGAAGTTTGCAAACGTCCCGGAAGATGTGGAGGGGGCGGGGTCTTCGGAGCTGTCCTCAGAGGAGGAAAGGCGCTTCCTCTTGGAGCTGGGGTCTTCCTCTTCATCCTCACCTTCATCTCTGTGGCGCTTGGATCCACCGAGAGGCAGGAAGTCCAGAGCAGGGCCCACAGGGGGAAGGCAAGGAGCAGGACGGCAGGAGGGCGCAGGGGGGACAGCAGCGGGAGAAGACGAGCGACGCTCTTCTTCAACGACGGGACCAGACGGAGGAGGAGGGCTCTCTGCTCGCTGCTGAGGAACGGGGGACGGGGGACCACCCACCACGTCCACAGCTTGAGCAGGAGGGGCCCTCTGGTGCCAGCCGGCCCAAACCTCCTCTGGAGGGAAACGCTGGTCGTCTTCTTCCTCCTCGTCGTCCACGTCTTCATCACTGTCTTCCTCGGAGGAGAGACTTCCATAGCCAGAGTCCCAGTCCTCTTCATCGCTCTCCCATTCTTCTTCTTCATCGTCTTCCCACTCTTCTTCTTCAACATTCTCCTCCTCTTCCTCCTCCTCCTCCTCTTCCTCCTCCTCCTCCTGAATCTGTGGCACAGGCAGAGGGGGACGTTCACCTACCTCACCCCACATAGGGTCCCCCTGAAGAATCTCCAGAAGATTCCACCGAGGAGCGTCTCCCTGGAGGTCCCCCGGAGCGTCTCCCTGGAGGTCCCCCGGAACGTCCACCGCAATGTCCCACGGCACGTCCTCCTGGAGGTCCCACGGGTCCAGAGCCACTGCAACATTTTACAACATTATTCTTCTCTTGTGTTCATGGGACAAGGAGCCACACAAACTTTTACAAACAAGTGAAAAACAGAGAAAGATGAGAGCTGCTGCTCAGTGCAATAGAAGCCAAGAACTACTTGTTCCTCGACTCATGTCCTGAATTATAGACTTACTTTACCAACAGGTTTCAGGTCTAAATACAGGCCAACAGTTTTTGTACAAGACTTGAAACAGAGAGTCTGTGTGGCTTCTCTTGCACAAGTCCACAGTGCATGTGCCAGTGTGCAGAGCACCTCAGAAATCCCATTCACCCCAAAACCTCACAACATGATCTCTTTTAATATCAAAATATTTTGCAAAAGATTCTCTAAAACTCTGATGAATTTCAATGCCTACAAACTAAAATACATCAGTTTGCCACTAAATGTTTTGATCATCTTTTACTTTGCACGCATACCAAGAAAAATCGAGCCCTTTTACTGGGTATTATTGTGACCACAGTAAGTAAGTTTGTGTGACTGCTTTACAGAATCCAGACTGGAGGGTTGGCTGTCCATTCCTAACCGCGCTAATATCAAACGCTACGGCTGGAAGAAACAGGTGGGGTTTTGGTCGTTTCAGATTTCCTCTCATTTCTCTCAAACATCAATATAACTTTGATCTCTTCTGTCTTCAGTATGTGGTAGTAAGCAGCAAGAAAATCCTGTTCTATAATGACGAGCAGGACAAGGAGCAGTCCAATCCCTCCATGGTACTAGATATAGAGTAAGTACTACAACTTTACATTATGCACTTATTAAGATGCTTTTTTTATAAGATGTAGTTTAAAATAATTCTTAGTTTTGCAGTAAATTGTTCCATGTCAGACCCGTGACACAAGGAGACGTGTACCGAGCGGAAACGGACGAGATTCCCAGAATATTCCAGGTTGGAGTTTCATAAAAAAAATAATTAAAAAAAGGTCTCATTATTTAGGCATTGCTGCCTTCATAACATTTTACAATTTCCAACAATTTTTCATCTTTCTGTTCAATACAAAGTAACAGTATTAGAGTCGATAATACAGAATTTTTATTTAAACAGTATTTAGTTTCCCAAAGTAAATTACAAGAATAGTTTTTGTTTTCTTTTGAGACAGGACAAAACTAATTGTTAACAGTTTAAAGCTGAAGACTGAATGAATCTATTTTTTGGGCTCATGCTGGGGCTTGAACTTGGTGTGAATGATTGTGTCAGTTGTTTTTTGTTACTGGTTTCTTGGCAAGGCAGGTTTATCTGTGCATCACAATTCATACAGAGTTATTCAAAGTGCTTTACAGAATAAGAAACACGTTAAAAACACAATGCAAACAAATCAAAATATAAATAATCATCATCATAAAATTTATATTAAAGGGCCCATCTCATGCAAAATAACTCTTTTCACATTGTATCTTCTGCACATAAACAAGCACAATTTGGGTTTTGGAACATCCATTACACAATAGTTCTGAAATCTGACTGATTTCTTGGAGACAGTCACAGACCAGGAACTATGAAAGGCCGACTATTGCTCATCCCCCCGCCCGTCCTGAGAAAGCACAGGCTCCGCCCTCCAAACGTGATGTAGGCGACGACTGAGCCGCCCTTCCTCCGCCCATCTCAGGGAGGCAGGGGGAGACAGGTGTGCGCCCTGTGGTGTAAGTGTACAGCCCTGCAGCCACTTATGCTGTCGCTTTTGTTTAGGTGTTCATGTGGGAATTGTCAGCCGAGGCAGGGCGGAGGCAGGGTGGAGGCAGTGGAGCGGGGGAGGGGGGCAGGTGTGAAGCGCTTCTGCTACGTCAAACGCGTCATGGGTGTAGCTGCTGCGTCATCGTTGTAGCAGCTTTAGTTCGTTGTCACGTGGGAGGGTGGCAGAAATACACTGCAATTTGTTAAAAACCAAATCAATCTAACACCAAATCAATCTAAAAACCACTTTGCGACATATACAAGGCCCACACATCACTCTTAGAAGGTAGAAAGCTCTGAAAAGTTGATTTAGCATGAGATGGGCTCTTTAAATAGAGAAGAGTGTGGAATAAAAACTTTTCAGTCACTTTTCTGAACTCTCTTAGCCCTCTTTTGCCTCTTCTCTTGTTCATATACCCGTTTGCCTGTTTGCCTCTCTGTAGATCCTGTATGCCAATGAGGGTGAGTGCCGGAAGGAGGCGGAGGTGGAGGTCCCCCAGGGCGACAAAACCAACTGCCTCCCACACAAAGGGCACGAGTTCATCCCCACGCTGTACCACTTTCCCTCCAACTGTGAGGCCTGTGCCAAGCCTCTGTGGCACGTGTTCAAGCCCCCGCCCGCCCTCGAGTGCCGCCGCTGCCACGTCAAGTGCCACAAGGACCACCTCGACAAGAAGGAGGAGGTCATCACGCCATGCAAAGGTACGGGCAGTACGCAGTGTACGCAGGCTATGGTCTGAGGCTGCAAAACAACATCAAGGAAAACAAAGTGGGTAATAGCACCGTTAAGTCAATTAACCAGTCGATGGTGTCTTAGCTGACTGATCGTTTTTATTTAGATTATAAGGATTTATATGAACAGCAGCTGTTGTCCAGTTGATCAGCAGGACATGTCAACTACAGCCTTAGTGGTTAGTATCATGTGTACTGTTAGGATTAGTCAGGTGTAAGGGCTGCGGACTCTTCATCAGGCCGTATACAGAGGACAGGACACAGTGTGGAGTCAGTCCGCTTTATTCCTGTGACATATACGCTATCAAAATATATCTCTGCATATCTGCACTGGCTCCCCTCTGCAGTCTCCAACAGCTACTCTGGAGGGGGAAGCTTACACTTACAGACCGGCTCATTTATGTAAATCATGTCTGAATAAAAAAATAATTCCAAGTCCAGTCCAGTACAGTGGAAACAAATGCACAACTTACAACCTTCACAAAAATAAAACAAATTAAAGATACCTGTGACATATAAATACTCTACTAACCTGTCTCTACATATCAGCCTGGCTCCCTGCAAGAATGAAAACAGCACTGTGTTACAAACGCTCATTTTGGCGACATTCAGCACTAGGCTACAATACAGAGCTAACTTTTACAATCCAAATAAAATATACAAAATTAAAACCACCACAACACATTCACCACACATGAAAAAGCTGTCTTGTCAACATGTGTATTTGTATTTAAGTTAAAAGTGCATTGTTTTTGTGAAATAAATATTTTTAATGCCCAGACAGAACTTACCCTCTGCAGTCTCCAACTGCAACTGAGAGATACACGTGGGAGCAGTGCGCACTTCCGGTTTTCCAAATAAATATAAATTATAATTAAACATAAAATACAATCAGGAAATAGTAACGTACATTTTTAACTCCATCACACAGGGGTTCAAATGCAGGTTGCATTAGTTGTTCTTCGGTGCAGGTGTAGTGTTGTGAGTGCAGTTTGGGTCAGATACACACAGATACGTAATAGTTTTAAGAGCTTTTGCCACACCCCCTTTTAGCTGACAAGTCAATCAGCAGAACTTGTCTTTAGTCGACCAAGAATTTCTTTATTGAACTACAGCCCTGCGAAACACACAATCACACATCCTAATGAATATGATTTCAGCTCAAATCCAAAACGAGCACTAACCCTGTGTCCACTCCACAGTAAACTACGACGTGACCTCTGCTCGGGACATGCTCCTGCTGGCCCTCTCCCAGGACGAGCAGAAGAAGTGGATCGGCCACCTTGGAAAGAAGATTCCCAAAACGCCGCCCACGTTCTCCCGAGCCTCTCCCCGCACCATGTCCACGCGCTCTGGACCCAACCAGTCTTTCCGCAAAAACCCTAAAAGCAACGCAAAACTGAGGTAACTACACACACCAAATATTACACTGGGCTGCACAATAATAAAGACTGTGAGGATAGTGTCAGAATAAAAATAAAATAAAAATAAATTGATGTTTTGAGGGATCAGAATGAGGGATTGACAACTACTGGGTCAGCATTGTAAATTGAGATGTGTTTTACAGTTACAGTCCTATGAACCCAGAATGACAAACGGACTAAAACACTAGTATATAGATTATTACATAGATCACTAACAGCTATTTTAGTCTATTTTTATTTACCTGTATTAGGAGCAGCATCAAACTAAATTGTAAACTTGCAATTTTACAAAATAACTTGATTTAAAACTTAGGGCCTGTCTGATATATCGGTTGGCCGATATTATCAGCCGATATGGGCACTTGGAAACATATCAGCTATCAGACTAAATCTTTCTGATATTTCACGTGGGCATGTTATATCTCGTTATAAAGCTTAGACTCTTTATATTATGTTCATTTAATCCAATTTACAGACAGATAAATGTCCTAATATGTGGCTCCGCATCAGTATTTATCTGCGGAGTCATTTGTCAGTGTGTGTGTCCGTACTGTCCCTGAACACAGAGTCACGTCATTCACGTGCACTTGTTTACACCCGCAGACACAGATCCATGTGCGACACTGAGATTATATTCTTTTTACGGACAATCGGTTTTTAGTCAGGATTAAAAGGACATTTATTACTTTCTTACTGTCTTAGCTACTAGAATGTGATGCAAAAATGCCATTAGGCCGACCTACTGTCTGTAAATATGACGTAAAGGGGCAGAATAACAATAAATGTTGCCTAAATAAACCCAATTTAAAATCCACCAGAACCAAACCTAAATTTTTTAAACAATTCAAGATTTACAGTGAATTTTTACATCACTAAATATATCGGCAGCTCCAGCTCCCATTTTATCTGTATCATATCGGCCTCAACAAAATCCATATCGGTCAGGCCCTAATAAAATTTTATATTATGTAGTTAGGGTTGTCAGAAGTGTTGAAATTCAGATACTAATTAGATGCTAAAACTAGTATCGAAACTAGATACTCATTTGAGCAGATATTGATAATAAAAACAGAAATGAACCTTTCTTGAATAGCTTTAGAATGATCTGCAGCTGTACCAGAACAAGTATAAGAGCGCATAAACTAGTATACACCCATGGACCACTGAGGATTACACACATATAAAACCACATTGGAATAGAAAAGAAAAGAAAGTACTATGATGTAATGTTGAAAACACATTCTGTTGTTTCACATTTTAGTATCATAACAAAACTATTGTGCAGCCTTTATTTTAAAATATGTCTTCCATCCCAAATTGCATGACTGGACTGTGTTCCATTGTTTCAGGGTGTGTTGCAGTTACAAGTCTGTTTTTGTGTTGTTTTGTTTGTATCGTTTTGTTTTTTAAATCCCTCGGAATGGGATGGGAGATGGCCGTTAGTCACATGACCTGCTGTTTGTGTCTCTTGTAGCAGAGCGTCGTCCAACCTCCACTCTGCAAACACCACGTCCAGCACTTGTTGACAGCAGCCCCTCCACAAAGCCTTGATGTTGTTTGATTTTTATTTTTTTTGTATTTATGTTTTTTAAAAGCTTTTCCCTCCCTTCTTTAGCTTTTATTCATTCAAAAGGGTGACTCTTTGGTCTGGTTTGTTTGTTGGTGAATCTTGGGTTTCTTTGGGGAAGCTCGTTTTTCCAATTTGGGTTCATGTAAAGAGAGGGAATGCAGAAATGTCAAGTTGGGAGTGGTTAAATGACTCTTAGCATTGTATTGTTGCATCTTATAGAGAAATCTACCATACCATAATCAAAATTATACTCTAAACTCTTAGAATTGGGTAGACATGTACTTTAACATTGTTTAGAACAGAGATGTCCAGACTTTTTTCTCAATGGACCAAAATGAATTCACATTAGCAGTTCAAGGGCCAAACGTAATGATGTAATGCACATAAAAATGCAAAAAAGATTCATTTCTAAATCATCTTCCACTATTGCAAGATTAACTAGACCAGACCCCTTCTCCATTTTCTGTCTTTTCAGTGCAAAATAAAAATGCCCAGTCAGTCTATAGCAGTACAAGAGTTTAAAAAGATAAGTCAAGTCATAAACCAAATCTAGAGTATTACTGTCAAAATATTATTTCATCACTTCTTGATCAAATCCACTGTACATTAGGCCTGTCACGATAACACATTTTCAAGTGTGTGATGTATTGATTCTGTAATATTTTTCTAAGTGAATCATACTAAACATATTTTGGCTGGCATTATAGAAACAGTACAATGAAACACTAAAACAGTTAATTCTGTAAGTATAGTGTAAGTTCATTATTGGACCATCTATAACTCAAGAAAACATTCCCCATTAGACTGAAGAAGGGCACTATAGATTATAAGGCACACTGTCACGAAAGATAACAGTTAGATATGTCAATCAAACTTTATTTAACGTGTTCACAATAACTCTCAACTTTGTTCAATTGTAATGCGTAAAAAAAAATACTGTCTGAGACGCTAAATTGTTAGTGTATTCACAATAACTCATAATTGTTCAAACAGTTGGGGGATTACGGCGTCCAGCACGCCCACATCCCTCTCATCATTATCCGAGTCAGTGTGGTTACTGTTCCCTGGCAGTTCAGTGATGATTCTGGTCTTGGTGAAAGCTCAGACCACACTTGATACTGATCCTTAGTCCAGGCGTCCACGATCCATTGGCAGATCGTGGCGTAAGTTGCTCGCCGCTGTCTCTCTGTCTTGGTGAATGTGTGTTCTCCTTCTCTCATCCACTGCTCCCACACAGCTCACACTTTCACTTTATAACAGCCTTGAGTTTAAAGTGGGCGTTGTGAGCGTGTCTCTTGACAGGTGCATTTTGATCTTAAAAGGAATCACAGTATGTATTACTCCTGATGCTCCTGACTACGGGAGCTGTAATGCTGCAAGTGGTGCGGATTTGTAGTTTACTAAAGTCGTACTAAGACACCCCAATAAATTCATAAATTATATATAAGGCGCTCTAGATTATAAGGCATGCAGTCATTTCTTGATGAAATTAAATGCTTTTAAGTGCGCCCTATAGTGCGGATAATATGGTATCCCAATATTAGGAAGCCATACTTGTACAAGGAATCTGCGCTGACATTCCCATGCAGAGACTCAATGTTTTACACCTATACAGTGACTTTTCTATGCAAACTGTAGTGGGAGGACACCGTGGTTTAGACTTAGCGCCTCTTCGTTGATGCACGGGTCAGCCAGGCCTCTTGGGCACACTGCACAGTCCAATCAGACTCCATCCGGGGTGTTATCTGGGTAACAAGTCATGACATCATCCCTATCAGTAGTTCTTTTCCTGTTTAGTTAGTTTGCTATTGGATAATATCATGCAGATATTGTCTTGGCATATATCTGGGAGTCTCAGAGCTGTGATCAGAGCCCTCATCTTCAAATAACCTCAGTACAATAATGAACTATCCAAGTGATTATACAAAATAGCTAAGCCTGGTTATTTATCCTCACAATACTACTACATATTGAGCGATAAGTTGATAAAGTAATTATTGTGACCAGCCTACTATACATTATTTTCTCTGATAATACACGTGGAAGAAACTTTTTAACATTTTTACTAAACGGAGATAACTGTTTTCGAAACTGACGCTTTGAGCTTTGATCCACTCCTCTTGTGACACGACCTGCATACCCTCTGTGGTTGGGCTTGGTAACTAACGTCTTTCTTCTTTATGTACAGACCGCACCTAAAGCTTTTGTCCTCTCCGTGACATAAACGTGTGTAGAAGCATTATAGATTCAAAAGCAGCCAAGTTTGAAGCAGCTCCATTTATCGTTTTGTGATTGCATGTTTGCTCATCACTTTAGTTATAACGAATGCTAAACTCAAGCATCTAAACATACAAGTATATTATATTTTATTTGTTATGGGCTAATTGCAAACTTGGCATCTTTTGATCTTTTTAAAGAGCCTAAATCATCTGTCTCAACTGTCTTTTTATGTGGTTTGCTGATGTAGGAAGTAGCGCGTTTTTCTAACAAAACTAAACTTTTAAACTGTGATTTTAATAAATATTTTCCTTTTCTTCTCTTCCAGCTAACCGTTTGAACCATCGGATATCATTTTGGACTATATATAAACGCCCCTCCTCCTCAAAATTCATTGAGTTCAAACCCGAACCAGCGATGGAGGTCACAAGCACAGTGATATCCCAAAGCTCTGTAGAACCAGCTTGGACCAGAAGATGGCGCTCTTCTTTAAAAAAAAAAAAAAAAAACATGGACAAAAAGCAGAGGCAGAATTTTTCAATACATGACATTTCTTTCAAAAAAAAATATCCGTTTTGCTTCCTACCATCACAAAATGCAAAAATATTGGTTTCAAGAAAATACTTTTTTGCCTTCGTTGTTTCACTGTTTGTTGCCTTTTTCCTCATCACTTTTCAGGTTTGGGACTAGAGTATTTTGGAGAGAGGCGCATGCAAGATCATCATTAAAACAATCTATGCATTCTTTTTAGTATAATTATTTTTATTGCTCCAAGCCATAAAAGGAAGCTTCCGTTGTCATGGCAAACAGGAGTCCGAAAACTCAATGATTTTTATTTTTTTTTCTGTTTATTTGGTACATTGTAATATTTTTCTTGTATTATTTGTAATGTATTGCCTTACATTGATTCATAGATAAATGGCTCAAAAGGAAAACATTAAGTTAACAAATGTAAAACTGCACTGTTTGAAATGTAAATTATTTGTAGAAGACTAAGCAGGTGTAGCTTTTGGGCCGCCTAGTGCCTTAACGTTCGGATATTGATTTTACTGCCATATCTTTTCTTTTGTCTCTAGCTCTCCTCCTTCTCTCCTCCTTCTCTCTTCTAGTTCCTCTCCTTCTTGCCTCCTTCTCTCTTCCTCCTCCTCCTCTCCTTCAGCTCTCCTCAAACTCTCCTCCAGGCCTGACCCATCAAAGTGATGTTGTAGTACCTATTAAATACACAGACATGTACAGATGGGATGTGGATGTCTTAATACTGATATAATATAAATATAAATATAAATAAAATATATATATATATATATATATATATATAAAATATAAAATATAAAATCTTACTGAAATTGGCATAGACCAAGTGAACAAATCAAGATGAGATGCCAACAAGGAAAATTTGCATGTCCCATATAAATCTGTTGCTCACATGTTGTTGTCTCCATGTGAAAGTTTCTATCATCTGTTCCTTTAAACAGTGAAAACACTGTTTAAAGGAACAGCACTGTCAAACTTAGTAATGATTGTTGCTGCTAATTGTGCCTTATTCTTTTCTACACTGACTCATTAAGCCACACATTTTACTATGCAGTCATCCTCTTCCTCTTCCTCACGCACGCAACACACAAGTGGCGAGAAACGAGAAACAACAGAAGCACTTACCTCCACCTCACCCACAACCCACGGAGGAGTGTCCAGAAGGACCTCCTGAAGGTCCCATCGAGGACCATTGCACTGGAAGTTCCATGGGGGATCGTCCAGAAGAACGTCCTGAAAAATCTCCTGAAGATCCCATCTCAGAGCGTTCACTGGAAGTTCTTCCACCACAATGTACGGAGCGTCCTCTAGGAGGTCCTTCAGGTCCAGAGCCACTGCAACATTTTACAACATTATCCTTGTGTTGTGTTCATGGGACAAGGAGCCACACAAACTTTTACAAACAAGTGAAAAACAGAGAGTCTGTGTGGCTTCTCTTGCACAAATCCAAAAACAGCATGTGCCATTGTGCAGTGCACCTCAGTAATCCCATTCACCCCAAAAACTCAAGTAAAACTCGACAAAAACCTCACAACACGATCTCTTTCAATATAATATTTTGCAAAAAAATGTCTCTAAAACGCTGATAGATTGTAGAGACTATCAGTGAATCCCTTAACCTTACCTCTACAGTTGGTGACGCCCAGCCAATTGACAATGCCCAAGATAATAGCAATCAGACTCCCCAAAATGACACCATTGAGACACAGTTAGCCAAGCTCCTCTCTAACTATGAATCTCTGACTCAAAAGCTCAAAATGAGTGATGCATCGTCAACCTCAACTGTTGCAGATGATAGCCAGTCCCAGAGCAAATACCCATCTCACCCCACAGAAAGCATGATTGCTCTGAAGGATCTGCCTTTGCTTCAGAGGAAGGAATTTAAGATTCAGGGTGGGCAGATTGGGGATAATGCTTCTGACATAAGATACAGTAGCATAAGCAAACAAATAGACAGAGGACTAAAAGAAAACCACACTGAGAGTGAAGTGATTCAGGCTGTCCTATGTATCATCAAACCTGGCATCTTCAAAGAAATGCTCACAAGTAAAGATGAGATGTCTGTCACTGAGTTGAAAAGCTTTCTACAGTCACACCTGGGTGAGAAAAGCACAACTGAACTGTTCCAAGGACTCATAACAGCAAAACAAAATGAACATGAAACTCCACAACAGTTTCTCTACCGGATGATGGGGCTCAAGCAAAAGTTATTATTTACATCAAAACAATCAGACTGTGATATCAGGTACGAAGCCCAAACAGTCCAAAATGTGTTCCTGCACACAGTATACCAAGGTTTAAATGAGAAACATGAGGACATTAGACGAGAACTAAAACATTTTCTGTCCGATCCTACAGTGACTGATGACTTGCTCTTAAAACAAATGACAAAAACCACAAATGAAGAGAGTGAACGTAAAAGACGTTTAGGTCGTGTCACTCGCCCCAAAACTGCCATTGCTCACTGTAATGAGGCTGAACCCAGTGCTAGTACCAATGTAAAGCCCAGCCCAGATTCAAAAGCCAAAGATGAACTCATCCGACAACTAAGTGCCCAAGTCCAAACCTTGGCTGATGCTATAAGCTCTCTCCAAAAACCTAAAGAGCCAGATAAGCCAAAATCAAATGATTCCACTTCACCCTGTACATGTCACTGTCCTGATAGGCCTCACAAACAGCTGAAAAAGAGCAAATTTGGCTGCCCAAATTGTGTTGCACATCGCAGGACTAACTGCAATCACTGTTTCACCTGCGGTGAGGAGGGACACCGTGCTGTAGGATGTCTAAAAAGAACCAAAGGCTACAAATCAAGGTCACAGCAATACCCACCACCAGAACTAAACGAAAATGACTCTCACTCAGCTAACGGTGCTGCTTGCGATTCTGCTGATGTTATGTCTGCATCACAAAGAGTAGCAAAAATCCTAGGGCAGAAATGTCTCCTCAAGTGCAATTTAAATGGCTATGCAGTGTCTGTGCTCTTGGACACTGGTGCTCAAGTCAGCATTGTTGATCGTGTTTGGAGAAAGACTTTTGCCCCACAACAAAAAGTTCGCCCTCTCAGTGAGTTGCTGGGAGACAAACCCCTCCACGTAACTGCCGTTAATGGTGAATCTGTCCCTTATGATGGCTGGATCGAACTGCTGTTTAACCTGCCTGACAATGACAATCCAGATCTCACTATCAGAGTCCCATTCCTGGTCAGCAGGGTCAGCCTCCCTCGTCCCATTTTAGGCTTCAACGTTATTCAAGAGCTCATTCTGGGGCAAGCGGGAGAAAAGGAAGTGGTCACAGTCATTTCTAGGCTGCTCAAGGACGCTATGCAGATTCAAGCTGATCAGGCTGAAACCATTGTTAACTTCATCCAAACTCATGAATCCAGATCTGAACATGCTCGGGTCAGAGTAGGACGACAAGGTGCAGTGATTCGTCCTGGTCAAGTCACTTACCTGAGGTGTCCGCTGTCAACTGATTTCAATGCCCCTTTTGCTTTGTTTGAAGTTACTGACCCCGATATCAAGCTGCAGCAACTCGGCATTGGTGATGGACTTGTTGAAGTGCACAAAGGCAAGCGACCTTATGTTGAGATCCCAGTTGGTAATCACACACAGAATGATATTAGTTTACACCAGTTGACATTACTAGGGAGCATTCAGTCCATTGATAAAATTATAGAAACAGCCAATGCCACAAATGATTCTAGCACACCTGACTGTAGTGAAAAAGAACAGACATTCAGTGAGTCCACATCCCAGCTGTGGCACCCACCAGTTAATGTGAGTCATTTACGTGAAGAAGAACAAGCTGTAGTGAAACAAATGCTGTATGAAGAATCAAATGCATTCTCCTGTGATGACAATGATATTGGGTGTATCCCTAGTCTCCAAATGAACATAACATTGAAAGATGACATTCCTGTCCAAAGAACGTACTCTGCTATCCCTAAACCACTCTACAGGGAAGTTAAAGAATACATCCAAGATCTTCTGGCTAAACAGTGGATTGTCAAGTCCAAGTCCCCTTATGCAGCTCCAGTGGTCTGTGTACGTAAGAGAGACGGCACCCTCCGTCTTTGCATAGATTATAGACTCCTCAATCAAAAGACAGTCCCAGACAGACATCCCCTGCCCCGCATTCAAGATCTTATTGACACACTGGGGGGATACAGCTGGTTCTCCATTTTAGATCAGGGGAAAGCCTACCATCAGGGCTATGTGGCTGAGGGATCACGGCACATGACTGCATTTATCACCCCATGGGGATTGTACGAGTGGGTGCGCATTCCCTTCGGGCTGTCCAACGCGCCAGCCACTTTCCAGAGGAGTATGGAGGAGATGCTGAGCTCGCTGAGGGATGAATGCTGCATTCCCTATCTGGATGACATCCTCTGTTATGCTAAGACATTTGAAGAACATGTTGAAGGACTAAGACGTGTCCTACGAGCACTCCAACAACATGGTGTGAAGCTCAGGCCAACCAAATGTGAGCTATTTAAGAAAGAAGTCCGCTATGTGGGACGCTTGGTTTCCTCTGATGGAGTTCGCATTGACCCTAAAGATCTGGAGGCCATCCAAGCCCTCAAAGACAAGGCGCCAAGTACTGTTGGAGATGTTCGCAAACTGCTTGGTTTTCTCAGTTACTACCGCACATATATACAAGATTTCTCAAAGATTGCACGGCCAATGTATGAACTGCTAGTAGCAAAAGGTACCAGCTGCAACAGTATGACCAACCACATAAAGAAAACAGCTAAATCGAAACGCATGCAGATGCCATCAAAGACACCAATACACTGGACAGAAGAACACCAGAGGGCGCTGCATCAACTCATTACAACCCTGTCAAGCCCGCCTGTACTCGCCTACCCAGACTTCAGCCTTCCCTTCGTGCTGCACACTGATGCCTCGGAGCGGGGTCTTGGTGCCGTTCTGTACCAGCGCCAAGGTGGGAAGCTGCGCGTTATAGCATATGGGTCGAGAACACTGACACCTGCAGAACGAAATTACCACCTCCATTCAGGTAAATTAGAATTCCTGGCTTTAAAGTGGGCCATTTGTGAAAAGTTCAGAGACTATCTTTACTATGCGCCCCACTTTACCGTTTACACGGATAACAATCCGTTAACCTATGTCATGAGTACAGCTAAGCTTAACGCCGTTGGTCATCGCTGGGTTGGTGAGCTTGCTGATTTCCGATTTGAGATTAAATATAGACCAGGCAAAGTCAACGTAGACGCAGACACACTGTCCAGGCTGCCACTAGATATAGACAGCTATGTAGACGCCTGTACAAAAGAACTGTCTAGAGACACTATTCAGACCATTTGGGATGGCAGTCGTGCTGCAGAGACTAAAGATGTTGCTTATGTAGCAGCCCTGGACCTAGCTCAAACAAACCCGACACCTGACCTGCTACCAGCTGTTAGCCATGCTGAGTTGGTAAAAGCACAACGCATTGACCCTGTCATAGGCCA